GAGTTCCGAGGTCCTTGGCAGTGAACAGAGACCATTTAAGTCATCATGGGAATTTAGGAAGTGTAACCCCTGTTTACTTATGTTTTTCTTAATTCGTGGCATCTATTCTGCTTTGGGGGCATTTCCTGTCTGCAGATTCTAATGCAACTTGCCATGCAAAAGAGTGAACCTTTCAGGGCCACATTTAACATTGACATTTACAAAAAAGGTGTGTGCTGCACCTGGTAACTCTAAGACATTGTCCTGTGAAAGCATCATCACCCAGGGTGAGTAGGACACAGAGTCGGTTATCAGTCACCTGCAAACCCCACTGCAAAGTTGAAGGCCTGCGGGCCTTGATGCTTTTCTTCTAGAACCCTGGCCACTCCCTCCTCAGAAGTGAAAAAGATCAATGGCTTGTTTATTTCAGTCTGAGGGTTTTGATGTGTTTGATAGATTTAATTTTGGTTCATAATTCCAGACGTTTTAGAGGATTCGTTTTATCCCTTGTAAGTTCTGCATGCTTTCCTGTGACCACGCTGACACATCAGTGGAGCAGGAGCCACTGTCCTGGCCATGACAAGTGGGGACTGTTTCTCCCTCCAGAGCTGGCTTTACGTGCTGGGGCAGAAGAGGTCTGACAGCTGCGTTCTGCTGGAGCACTCTGTGAAGAAAGCAGTGCATTTTGGGTTACCGGTAAGGGCATCTGACTGTGAGATGATTGATTTTTTCGCCCACCTTTGGAATGAACCACTGATGGATTTAGAGTGACTGTTGCAATGTGTGGTTTCATCCTTGTTAGTTTCATCTGGTCTTAATTATTAATGCAGCCACTAAGTTCTGTTCGCTAGGTTTCTCCCTGCTCCCTCTACCGTGATAACATCTGTGCAAGTTGCATTCATCAGCTCGGTAAGAGAGCTTGGTTTAGTTTTTGGATCAACATTAACTCAGCACATTTTCACTTAGAAACATGTTAGGAAAGGCTTATTTTTAAGCCAGAGCCTGGCAAATCTGCATACCCAATCTGGCTCCCTGTCTGTTTATATATGACCTTCAAGCCAAGAATGGTTTTTCGATTTTTAAATGGTTGGGTGGAAAAAAAAAAAAGATGATGCCATGACAGACTGAACGTAGACTGTAAAAGCTTAAAGTATATACTTTGTGGCCCATGACAGAAAAATTTGCTGATCCTTGTTTTAAATAGTAAACAAAGCCAAAAAATGATAAACCTGACAAGCAGCTCTGTCATTTCTCATGTGGAGTGACAGGAAGGGACCCAGGTGATAGTGCCAAGGCTGGCCCCTTAAGCACCCACAGGGCTGCTGAGGCGGCCCAGACTCCATAGCTGAAGGAGCAGTGCCTGTCAGAGTCTAAATTTCTAG